GGGCGTAATTTTTGTACAGTCTCGTCATCGTCGCACAACGTCTGATTTCTTGGAGAATCAAGTTTCTGTCGCCCCAGCCCTTTGCACACAAGGAGCAGCAAGGGGGGAATGTCGGCGACGGATTGAAGGCTTCGCAAACAAATCAGAAAGTTTCTCAACCAATCAGATTGGAGCCGAATTCTCGATACAGATCGGAATTGTTTTCAAGAAGAAGTTGTCAGAATGTTATTCTCTAGCCTGTAGTGGGGTGCTCTATAGCAAGTACAACCCATCTAGGGTTTGCTATATGTATCCTCATTGCTGCTAGTGAAACCCCTTCTTCTCTTCTTCATTCTCTCGTTCTAATCTTCACATGTTTTCAGAGCATCTACGGTCCAGGCCTGTGGGCCCACCCAACTGCTTCCGCTGCTACTCTGTGTTTGGCACGCCCCGTGGCGTGCCCCTCGCCCTACTCTTAGCGGCCCCGTTGCCGCACTTCCAGGCCCCTCGTGGCCCCTTCGCAGCCCCGTTGCCGCCCTTCCAGGCCCCTCGCGGCCCCTTCGCGGCCCCGTCGCCGCCCCTTTTGCGGCCCGTCGCCGCCCTTCTAGGCCCCTCGCGGCCCCTTCGCGGCCCGTCGCCGCCCTTTCAGGCCCCTCGCGGCCCCTTCACGGCCCGTCGCCGCCCTTCCAGGCCCCTCGCGGCCCCTTTGCGGCCCCGTCGCCGCCCCTATCGGCCCCGTCGCCGACCCTAGCGGCCTCGTCGCCACCCCTATCGGCCCCGTCGCCGCCGCCAGCGGCCTCGTCGCCGCCCCTAACGGCCCCGTCGCCGCCACTACCGGCCCCGTCGCCGACCCTAGCGGCCCCGTCGCCACCGCCAGCGGCCCCGTCGCCGACCCTAGCGGCCCCGTCGCCGCCCCTATCGGCCCCGTCGCCGCCTCCAACGGCCCCGTCGCCGCCCCTTTCGCCCCTTCCTCGACCCTGCCCCGGCCCCGCCCCGGCCATGCTCCGTCGCCGGTCGCGGCGCACCGGGGGCACGCGCACCGCCCCCCCCTCTTTTCCCATCGCCCGTCGCGGCTCCCTCGAGGGCCGCGGGCGACCAGGGGGAGGGGGGCGAGCGTCGCCCCTTCTGCCGCCTGCTTTGGCGCCCTGGGAGGCCGCGCGTCGCCCCCCCCCCCCCCCCCTTTTCCCCCCCCCGTAACCTCCCTACCCGCCATCCCGCCCTGCCCTTTGTTAGGGTTTGGGGGTGGTGAGTAGGGGGTGACGGGTGTGTGGTCTCCCCTGCTCCTCCTCCTTCGTCTCCCACTCCTGCAGCTGTCGCTGAGGGGGGTGGATGCGTGGGAGCCTGGGGTTTAGGGTTTAAGGGGGTTGCTGTGAGAGTGGAGCTAGGGTTTTAAGGGAGGTGGATGTGTGTGAGCCTGCGGTTTAGGGTGTAAGGGGGGTGCTATGGGAGTGGAGCTAGGGTTTGAGCAGGGGGTGTGTGTCGAGAGGTGTGGGGCAGTTGGAGGAGGTTGGTTGAACGGAGGTTGTTGTCGTGTCGTCAGCAGCACCAGTAGTCCGGGGCGTTGCTCCGGTAGCCCAGTCGTAGCCAGCTGTGCCAGTCGCTCGTGGGTCCGTTGCTCGTCTGCCGCTAGTTTTAGCCGCGGAGCCAGTTACTCCAGTAGTCCGGAGCGTTGTTCCGGTAGCCGCTGTGCCAATGTGACTCCTGTTGCCCATGTGTCTGCAGCTTCAGCCGTCGCCTCCTATCTCCTCTCCTCTTACAGTCTCGCCTCCTCCTCCTCACTTGCTCTTTGTGAATGACTCTAGCTTTGTTCGCTATTGTGAAGTCCTGCTCTATGCCTGCTTGCTCATTGTGCTGATTACACCCCACTTTGGCTATGGGGGTGTGTCAGAATGTTATTCTCTAGCCTGTAGTGGGGTGCTCTATAGCGAGTACAACCCATCTAGGGTTTGATATATGTATCCTCATTGCAGCTAGTGAAACCCCTTCCTCTCTTCTTCATTCTCTCGTTCTAATCTTCACAGAAGTGTCAACAGTTTCTACAGGTTTCTACCAAACAAAATCAGCTATGACAGAGAATTCCAGAGCTTTCTTATTCATGCACCTCATGTGGCTCTCAAGTCACTCAAGGTTCATGGAATCTGAATTGTGCCCAAGTTCTCCAGGAAGTTGCCTTGTCTAGCAGCCTAGTTTGAGCTATCAATCTACATGATTGTAATGCTTTAGAAGTTGTGCCTTAGTGGGCTTGTACAATCTTGAGCATAGTGTAAGTTTTCTCTCATCAAGCCAACTCCAGTAGCTTTGTTGAGCTTTTCCAGCCAAGTTTCCAGCCTTCCAGTCATCAGAGCTCCTCTGTTTTACAACTTGATTAAGTCAAACCTCACACGTCGGCATGTCGTGAGCGTCGGCATGTCGTGAACGTCGCACAAGTTTGGAGCCCGAACCGCGATCGGGAGTGCTGTTCGAATGTGGCTGAACACGTCAAAGTCGAAAGTGTTAACTTTTTCAAAAACTCCTCGCGAATGTGATTTGCGAGGTGCACGAAGACGAGTTACCACATTAATTCAAACCTTTTTGAACGCTAGTTTGCACGCCCTTAGCGTAGTTCGCAGCCGTATTTACAAGGCCGTACCCTGCAAATGGAGAGTGCCAGTCGATGGGGCTAGGTGGCGCACGAAAGTCACTCTTTCTTGATCTGGTGCTCCAAACCAAAGTCATAGCCCTGTTGTCGAGCAGCCGCTGCTTGTTTGTTATCCCTCAATCGAACCAACTTATGTACGATGTGTTTCCACAGGTGAGCCGTTGCAGTACCTGGTTCGATATTCCAGCTAGAAACTATTTAGGACGGTCATACTTTTCCGTTGACCTGGTCAATACGGTCAATCAAGCTCAGACGCGGTTTAAGTTTTCACCACTGTAGACCAGTGCGCACCAGGATGAAACCTTTATACTGAACCCACAACCCGAAAACTATCTGCTGTGGTTTATCGTCGTCGCCTCCAGTGGAGTCGGTTGAGATCGACGATGAACAATGCACTCTGGTGTTTAGCAAGATTGACGTATTGAGATTCTAGTAGTGAGCCGACTGACTGCAGGAGTTCTCTTGAAGCAATCAGTATCCCTTAACGAGCAGCTCATTATGCACGCGTCGGGCCCTGGCGTCGTCGCCAGGCGCCTCCAAGCGGCTCTCACTCGTCGCATTCTGCCTGTCGCCGTCGCGCGACCGTCGCTTACTTGGCGATCTTCGAGCTGCGACCCAGCCTGCTCTCCTCGGAAACCGCACAGTCCTCTGAATCGACCCCTTTCCCGCAAAGCGGCTGCGAGACGGCGAGGAACTGTCACGGCACACTGCTGGACAGATATGTTTATACCGCGGATGCGGAATTCGGGTGAGTTTTCAACGGTTGCATACAGCAAAAATCATTCTACTTTGCAGAAGCGAAAGACGGCCTTAAACTAGCCATGCACTCCCCCCTGTGCCATGCGTGAGTCGAAATCACAACCCATAGTTCTCCAGAGGGTCCTGCGCTGCTCAGTGACCCCTTGCAGACTGAAGTCTCTTGCTTCATCGTGCACGCTCGTTATAAGCACAAGCTGACGGCCTGAACATTTAAATCACCTCGTGGTTGAGCCGTGCACCACTCCTGCATGTTCTCGCTCAGTCACGAGCATTCATTTACCCGAGTGGGAGGACTCGTGGGTAACCAGGTAACTGCATGCAGGCGAAGGGGCCTGGAGGGTGGAGCGGAGGATGGGGTGTGTGAGTGACCACTGATCCCAAACCTGCCTTGAGCCTTCTATCTCCGTTTTCTAGCTCTGCATTATCTGCGTTATGTATCCTAGAGATATGTGTCGTAGAGATATGTGTCGTAGAGGTATGTGTCGTAGAGATATGTGTCCTTATGTAGTGCCCTCCTCCACCTTCCTTCAGCTACCAATATCAATGCCTCAACGCCACTGTCACTCTCTCTTACCAACCCATCCGACCTATGGCGGTCGTTGCTCTCTCTGCCCTGCCCTGCTGCTGGCCTGGCAGTTGGAAGGACACGGGCAATCGCATGAGAGCCAAGGAGCCTGGAGGGTGGCTGCACAGTGCTCTCACTCCCAGCAACCCATCCCGCCCTGCTGCTGGCCTGGCAGGTGGAAGGACACGGGCAATCGCATGCGAGCCAAGGAGCGTGGGGGGTGGTGGACGGGGTATGTGCTGCTGGTGAGAACCCAACGCTGGCTCAACCAATCCGTTACTAACCGATTTTACTGGTGGCATCACGTGACGCTTATTGTGAGTTCAGACTCCGATATGGTGGGAACAAGCAGTACAGGCGGTGCATGAGCTAGATTGAAGTACGTTTGGAAAGCAACACTGGTAAGCATCGGTGCCTGTGGTCTTGTTGTCACATACACTTGATCACTGCAGTGTGGTATGGGTGCCGTTTTGTGCAGGGCCATGGGGTACTGTGCCATGGGGTACTGTGCCATGGGGTACTGTGCCATGGGGTACTGTGCCATGGGGTACTGTGCCATGGGATGGGGAGCCAAATGGGTGTATATGCGGAGCAGTGGCAATGCCTGTAGCCTCACCCTCAACGCGTTGACCTTCAATGCATTGACCTTCAATGCATTGACCTTCAATGCATTGACATTCAATGCGTTGACCTTCAATGCATTGACCTTCAATGCGTTGACCTTCAATGCATTGACCTTCAATGCGTTGACCTTCAATGCATTGACCTTCAAGGCATTCACCTTCAATGCATTGACCTTCAATTCATTGACCTTCATCGCATTGACCTTCAATTCATTGACCTTCAATGCATTGACCTTCAATTCACTGACCTTCAATGCACTGACCTTCAATGCAGTGACCTTCAATGCACTGACCTTCAATGCAGTGACCTTCAAATGCACTGACCTTCAATGCAGTGACCTTCAAATGCACTGACCTTCAATGCAGTGACCTTCAATGCAGTGACCTTCAAATGCACTGACCTTCAATGCAGTGACCTTCAATGCACTGACTTTCAATGGCTGCAGGCTGTCCTTCGTCTGGACCTCCCATGCTCCAGATGGCACGCCTAACGCCAGCAGTGTTCCGCATGCCCTTCCTCACTTTGGTCCGCGTGCCATCTAATGTGCTGCGGGGGGGTGAGGCGTCCAGGCCTGAAGTCTTTAATGCATGCCTTGTGGCTGTGCTTGCTCCTCCCGCCCGCCCAGGTGCCGGACAACTTGTCAAGCGCCAGCAAGGGGCTCGTGTTGTTGTTCGTTGGGGCGGGGTGGAATGACCACGGCCGGGACGACCGGCGCTACACCATCCCCGATACGACCGACGTCTACATCCACGTCGCTGCCCCGTGAGTGGCAGGGACGGGCGGGAGTGGGAGGGGCGTGAGTGGGAGGAGCGTGAGTGGGAGGAGTGTGAGTGGGAGGAGCGTGAGTGGGAGGGGCGCTAGTGGAAGGAGCGTGAGTGGGAGGAGCGTGAGTGGGAGGGGCGTGAGCGGAAGGGGCGTGAGCGGGTGGGGTGTGAGCGGGAGGGCCATGAGCCTTGTGCCCATTGCATCTTCCCTTCTTCCCCGCCCTCTCCCAATGCCGTCATGCTACATTGGTGTCTCTTTTGAGAATTCTCAACCGCAGGCCTTGCCCATCAATCACCTGGTGCCCGTGCATGCATCCTCCCTTGCTCACTTCACATGCAGGCTGCTGGTGGATCTGGGCATGATGGGAGTGATGGTGCACCAGCAGCCTATGATGCCCATCACCTTCCACGTCGCCCCGCCTGGCGTCACCCGCAGCATGAGTGAAGAGCTTCAGGAGGAGATCACAGCCTGTAAGCAAGTCGGCCTATAGCGCGGCCAAATTCCCCCTGGCGTCAGCAGCAGAGCTGAAGCAAAGAGCTGATAGAGGAGCAGACCCCAGCCTGTACGGCGTCAGCCTGTAGCATGTGTGCCTTCTCGCTGGCATGAGATGCAGCAGAGCAAGCAAAGAGTTGCACGAGTAGGAGACAGCAGCTTGTAAGCGAGTCATGCTCTAGTGTGTCCGTATCCCCCGGGGTGTCAGCTGCACTGCAACAGCAGCAAAAGGTAGAATGTGCGAGAGGAAGAGATGACAGCCTGTAGGGGAGTCCGCCCCCCGAGAGTGTGCCGTACTCCCACTGGGTTCAGCAGCAGCAGCAACAGCAGATGAGTGCATGTGATGTGAGGAGATGAGTTAGGCTTGAGCAAGGTGGCGAACACCTGTTCGGTTCGCCTCGAACACGTTCGAGGCGAACCGAACAGGTTTTGTTTTTCAGCTTAAATCGTTCGCCCGAACGTGTTCGATGTTCGCCCGAACACGTTCGTGTTCGTTCGTGGCGCTGCTGCAAAACGCCCCGTGTCGAACACGAACGTGTTCGAGGTTCGCCCGAACACGCTTCCACAGGCGAACAGCGAACACCTGTTTTTGGCTAAACTGTTCGCCGAACCGAACACTGTTCGGTTCGGCAAAAGGACGTGTTCGAGAAGGGGCGAACACGAACATGTCCGTGTTCGCCCTTTGCTCATCCCTAAGATGAGTGCATGTGAGGATATGAGTGCATGTGAGGATATGAATGCATGTGAGGAGATGAGTGCATGTGAGGATATGAGTGCATGTGAGGATATGAGTGCATGTGAGGATATGAGTGCATGTGAGGATATGAGTGCATGCGAGGATATGAGTGCATGTGAGGATATGAGTGCATGCGAGGATATGAGTGCATGTGAGGATATGAGTGCATGTGAGGATATGAGTGCATGTGAGGATATGAGTGCATGCGAGGATATGAGTGCATGTGAGGATATGAATGCATGTGAGGATATGAGTGCATGTGAGGATATGAGTGCATATGAGGATATGAGTGCATGTAAGGATATGAGTGCATGTGAGGATTTGAGTGCATGTGAGGATTTGAGTGCATGTGAGGATATGAGTGCATGTGAGGATATGAGTGCATGTGAGGATATGAGTGCATATGAGGATATGAGTGCATGTGAGGTTATGAGTGCATGTGAGGATATGAGTGCATGTGAGGATATGAGTGCATGTGAGGATATGAGTGCATGTGAGGATATGAGTGCATGTGAGGATTTGAGTGCATGTGAGGATATGAGTGCATGTGAGGATATGAGTGCATGTGAGGATATGAGTGCATCTGAGAATATAAGTGCCTGTGAGGATATGAGTGCATGTGAGGATATGAGTGCATGTGAGGATATGAGTGTATGTGAAGATTTGAGTGCATGTGAGGATATGAGTGCATGTGAGGATATGTGTGCATGTGAGGATATGAGCGCATGTGAGGATATGAGTGCATGTGAGGATATGAGCGCATGTGAGGATATGAGTGCATGTGAGGATATGAGCGCATGTGAGGATATGAGTGCATGTGAGAGAATATGAGTGCATGTGAGGGTATTGATGGAAAGCGAGCGAATCTAGAGAGTGTAACAAGAGATTAAGTCCGCCGACTTCGACGGAACATTGCGTGCAACTCACATAATCTTAAACTATGAGCAGGTACGCGTCGGAAAGGGCTTAATCTCTACTTTTCAGAATGGTAACGCACGCCTTCAACCAAGACCTAGGCTGATCGCTATCGCGTTTTAAGTGCGACAGGGTATCCTGGCGAAATTGCTTGACAGCCATGGATTGGATCAAGAGAGTAGCTTTAGCAAGAGTTCAGATCTGCAAAGTGATGAGTTGTTCAAACCCTACCAAATCAACCCTCGTCCTACAACAATTCTCAACAACCCAAAGTGCTAAACTAGCAACACCAAATGTGTTGTAGTGAATAGCAAATGTTTGTTGATGTTTGTTGGGTGTGAGATCAATTCCAGCCCGCAACAAGTCTAACAAGCATATTGTGCCCAAACCCTTAGCGCACAACTAGCTAGAGCAAAATACCACAACCATCTACATAATCAACACTCCCTTTTGCTCGTGCTGGAGGTGGTTGAACACTACTAGGCAAAATCCTTTACTCCACTCCCTCTTGCCCAAGGAGGGTCGCCATCCACAGCATGGTGTCGTCAAGGCAGAGAAGCACCAGCCAACATGGGGCTGCATCCCCATCAAGGACATGCACACACCCCTCGCCGCTTGCCACCATCTCCCTGATGAAATGCCACCGAACCTCCATGTGCTTGGTGCGGCCGTGCAAGCATGCATTCGGTGCAAGGGCAATGGCAGACTGGTTGTCCACTAACACAGGCACACCATCAGCAAACTCATGCCCAAACTTCCGAAACAACGCTTCAGCCACACACCCTCTTGAGTGCATTGACATAGACTGATGTGCTCACTCTCAGTGGTGGACAATGCAACCACCGGCTGCCTCTTGCTCTGCCAAGAGATGGCTGCACCATTAAGGCAATAGACATAGCCGGTGTGACTCTTGCGATTAGCTGAATCTCCAGCATAATCAGCATCACTAATGCCCACCAACTCAACTTGAGGCTTGCTGTGTGCGGGGTAGAAGATACCTGACTTGGCACAACCTTTCAGGTACCTTAGCACTCTCTTAGCAGCCTGCAGGTGGAATTAGGGATGAGCAAGGTGGCGAACACCTGTTCGGTTCGCCTCGAACGTGTTCGAGGCGAACCGAACAGGTTTTGTTTTTTAGCTCAAATCGTTCGCCGAACAGTGTTCGATGTTCGCCCGAACACGTTCGTGTTCGGGCCGCTGCTGAAATTTGCCCGCGACGAACACGAACAGTGTTCGAGGTTCGCCCGAACACGCCTCCACAGGCGAACAGCGAACACCTGTTTTTTCCTAAACTGTTCGCCGAACCGAACAGTGTTCGGTTCGGCAAAAGAGGGTGTTCGACAAGGGGCGAAGACGAACATGTTCGTGTTCGCCCTTTGCTCATCCCTAGGTGGAATGCCTTGAGACAAGACACCACCTTGGACAGCTGTGACATTGCATAAACAATCTGGGGCTGTGTGGTCGTGCTTGCATACATAAAAGACCCCACAATGCTTTGATAGAGCTAGACCAACTCATCTCGCAGCAAGGGCTCCTCAGCATGTGCATGCATGTCGAATCTTGTAGAGAGAGGGGTACGCACGGGGTTAGCCTCAGAAAGGCCAAAGGACTCAAGCATGTTGAGAATGTACCTCTCCTGATGAATCAAGATGCCACTCTCATCACGCTCAATCTGCACCCCCACATAGTACTTAGCCTCCCCCAAGTCCTTCATGCGGAAACGAGAGGACAAGAGACTCTTCACCTCGTCCAGCAAAACCATGCTCAAAGACATGAGCAGAATGTCATCCACAGAGGTAGAGGGATAGCCTGCCCTCACGCCTCACCAAGTGGTACAAGCCGGGGTCACACCCCGACCTCTCAAAGCCAAAATCCATCAGCGCCTCATAAAATTTGAGGTACCACTGCCTTGGAGCTTGCTTTAGCCCATAGATTGACTTTTTGAGTCGGCAAACCCTGCCGGATCCATCATCAAAACCAGGGGGCTGCCTCATGTAAAGCTCCTCCTTCAAGACCCCATGGAGATAGGCAGTGGTCATATCCATATGATGGATGTGAAACCTCGAAGATGCTGCCATGCCACGGGGACCTCTCAGGGTGGTAGGTTTACCCACCGGGGTATATACCTGGTCATAGTGAACGCCTCGTGTTTGAGTGTTCCCCATGGCCACCAACCTGGACTTAGGCTTCTCAATACTCTCATGAGCCATGTGCTTACACTTCCATACCCACTGACACCTCAAAACCTCCATTCCAGGTGGCACACAAGCTGGATCAACCAGCTCAAAAGACTCGTTCACCCTATGAAACTCAAGCTCCTCACGCATGGACTCGACCCACTCAGGACAGGACAAGGCCTCCTTGACCGACTTAGGCTCATGCACCTGACACATGAGACAGAAATCAAGCCCAAGCTCACCCCCCTCAGCATCCACAAGCATGCACTCCTCCAAATCATGCACCTCATGATCATGCATGCAAACATACTGTGCACTTGGTGTGAACCTGTCAGGTGGCCGGGAGATGCGTGTGGTGCGGCGCAGAGGTGATGTCTCCCCCTGCTCCAAAGCTTGTAGCTTCTCCTTCCAAGTCACTCACTTGGATAGCTGCTGCTCCAATAGTTGCTGCCACCTAACCACAGGAACAGGCAGTGTATGCTCTTGTGGAAATTGCTGCAGCTTTTCTTGTTGCTGCTGTTGCCCTTGTGGCCGCTCCGGGTCATGGGCTGGTGCGTTAGGTTCATGGGTAGAACCAGCAGTTGGTGACTCCTCATGGTGAGGTGCAGCTGCCTTTTTTTCCTCTTCCTGCTCCTCTACTTCCTCTCCAGTGTCCTCCCATGCTCCCTCAAAGATGGAAAAGATGTAGGGATCCTGAAGGGAGCTCCCAACTGTACTAGCACCATGCTCCTTCCACCCCTTGTAACTCAGCGCCTTGTGGAAAACCACATCCCTGCTTTCCACCACCCGCTGATCCGCCACACTTCACAACATCCAAGCTTTGCTCCTCTCCGACACCCCAAGAAAAATGCCCCGTTGTGCCTTAAGAAGATCCAACTTCCTCTGTTGCGCCGTGCACCCCCACACTCGTGTTATGGACACACTAGGCACCTTACTGTTCCACATGAAGTAAGAGCTCTTGCCCCCCAGCCCCTTGCTGCCCATTCTGTTCTTAACCCAGTTGGCATATTGCACTGCTGCCCCCCACCAAGTATGGTCCAGCTACGCATGAGCAAGCATGGCTCGGGCAAGGTCAATGTGGGTCCAGTTTAGCTGCTCCGCTGCCCCATTTTGCTGTGGCATGTAGGCAACTGAAAGCTGGTGGGTGATGCCCTTGTTTTCAAGGAAAGA